CGATTTTTTTGACATCAGAAGGAAATTTTAATATAATTAGCTTGAGGTCCGGCGGATGTCTAGTGACAGTGCTTACTGGGAGGGCACCAGCTCGAATATTTCTACGTGTTGCGTACTTGTCTTGGGTGGGATAAGAACATGTTGACGGATCTTGATTCAATTCAGCAAGTACTCACTCGGAGGCGTAATATGATCAATCAATGCTAGTTAATTCACTGAACCCTGCTTACAGTTATTGCGTTTCAAGCTGTTTCAAGCCATGCCACGGCCTTGCAAGCCTTTGGAGGCCCTTTACGATGATCGCGATCAAACCTTTCACGTGCTCAAGAATGGACGGCATTCGGCAATTTACCTTTTGGCCGATTTGCAAATTCAGATCCTCGATATGATTGTTGAGGCTTCAAAAAATTGAGGACCCAATTCGCTTTCTGCGTCAGATAGAAGGGTTTAGAAGCATATCGGTGAGCAGTGTGACTGAAATGTTCGGCGCAAAAGTTGTCAAGTCAACGACGGCGGCGCTCATCTCTACCTCTCTTTGATAACAGCTGCTCCCTACGCCCCACACTGCTTCCGACCTTCCCCTCATAACACCGCGATCGATCATGCACGAGGGTAATACACCGAGAAATAGCCATTCTTCGGCGACTCCGAGTCGGCGGACAGCACTTGTCCGCAATTTCAACTCGATGGAAATGTAGTAAAGAAGAGACGTCTACTTATCTTGAGGAATCGAAGGTGTGCGTAGTCGTCATCCCGATTTCTTCTGAGAGGTAGCTACCGAATCGAAGCAATCTAATCTACAGGTCAACTTTGTCTAGCTTCATGTGTTTCCGCATTTTACCCGAGGTTTCATGGAACCTGCATACCCTTCACACTGGGGCGATTGCAAGAAGATTTACATCGCGGCAGTCGCACATTTGTTGGTGCTTTGAGAGAACATTTTCTGTCTTGAGGCTGGACGTTGCAACAAGCTGTCGAGGTCAGTCCTGTCGCCATTGCCGCCGATGTGACGGAGTCTAAATCGTCGGGATCTTCCGAGATAACTCAACGCAAACTCAACGAACTCATGTACATATAACACGATCGGTTTTTTGCAAGCACTTCTGCGACTTCTAATTACTCCCTCATTGATCCTTCTTCAACCGACCATTCTAATAATCCGGCCGATCATGTTCTGGTGGGACAATCCTTCAACGCAACATAAAACGCCACCTCAAGTGCACCTCCTCTCTCTCTCTCTTCCTCATCCCACCTACTTCAAGTCTGCGCCGCCAGCGTGTTACGCTTGACTTCTTTTGTGTAACTCAATGGACTTAATACGTGCTGTCTCAACAAACTCGTGCGAAGCTTTTTACTCTCCCTTCAATTGACTGATGCACCCACAGATATGATCGGGGGGATCTCTCTTTCATTATCATTTCTGGGGCGATGGTCTCTTTTATGATACCTGGGCTGGGTGTGTAATCTCAAGTCGTCAGTGAACCACATCATCTCAATATTCCACAAGCCTTTCTTTATTCCGGCCTGTCCCGGCGCAAAAGTGCTCGTGCGTTATGTAGCCACTCAAAATAATTGTCGTTCCTAACACGCTGAACCAGTTTCACTGATATGGGCTGTATCGGCAAGTAACGCTGTCGTCGTCTTCCAGTGGTTCCTTTGGGGTTATTCCTTGGGTTTTTCACCCACCGCCACCAGTGGTTTTATTGGAAACCTAAGAAATTTCGGCCTCATGAAAGTATTGGGAGAACCATCTCCGGGAACACCGCTGCTCCCCGACATCCTATACAGTTTTTTTCAGATGGAGTTTGCTTGCGTCACGGCAGGCATTTTAGTAGGGGGAGTCGCTGAGCGTGGCAGAGTCATGCCTGCATCAGCAAAACCTGGGTGAGCTAGGCAGCACGTGGCAGGGCTGTGTAGTGCCATAGCACCATAGAAAGGGGTATCACCTTTACAGTCACCTGCACGTTCTATGCAGCTCTACATAGAAACGCACAGCCACTACACAGCACTCCCTAGAATCTCAGAGCAGATCTGCAGCCATTCATAGAAACACATAGCCACTTCATAGTGCTCCCTAGAATTACGGAGCAGATCTGCAGCCCTCAGTA